GGTCACTGATGTTCAATGTTGAACTTGGCTATAATGTTTGAATGTATAGGGCATGCTGTTTTATTATGCTGTTAAAAAAGCTTGATGGAGAATTTGGCTATCTATATATTTCATCTGGTAATCTCTTTCCAATATTGGAGAAGAAGAAGGTGTTCCAGCTGTCTTCACTTGCCACTCATCTCTCAAAGATTTCTGATGGCCATGCTGAGAGGTTTCTGTGATGTTATTTTTTTTGTACTGTTAAAACTGATAACTCCTTATCAGGAGATAGAAAGTAGGGTGGACATAATAAAAAAAAAATCCCATTTTGATATTTGTCACATTAATGGCCACCAGTGCTTTGTTAACAATGTTTATGTGGTTAGAATCTTACCATTCCAATACCCTGAACCCTGACCGTTATTGGTCTCGTGATCAAAGTCAATCCATAGAGACTTATGGACACGTTAATGAGACCATTAAATACACAATGATTTTCAAATGACATTTCTAACAAATATCCAATATAATCCAACAAATGGATTGGCATAAGAGCAGACCAAAGACAAACACCTCGTCTGACTTGATGGCATGTACAAACAGTGTCAACAAGTGACACCAATTAAGAACAATGACTCCTCTTATGGACAAATAAACACTGTGACTACAATCTGACGTAGTAAAATCTATAATTTAAAAAATACACCTGTCCAAAATACATGAAAGGTCCATTTAGAGATACCTTAGAGAAACACACACACTACAATATAGTTGGTTAATAACACACTGTCACTTTTAGGCATCATCAGTGCTCGTGGCTGTCCCTAACATTGAATTTACGATCTAATCATAAAAAAACCTCAAAGGTGCTCTTTTTTAAAGTTTTTATTATTAATCTTTCGATATTAGAAAGTGTCTGGAGGGGGCAGGGCCTGACAGCCAAGATGGCCAGACATGTTCTGCACTAGCTCCAGCACAATTGAGCAACAAATAAGCTTTTTATGCATCATACCACAATGAATTTAGCCATAATCGACTTGTACACTGTCTGGCAACGAGTGGGCAACTATGGCTAACGGTGCCTGACAATGCCCCCAACAAAGTCTGCTTTGGAGCCCCGCGACCCCCCCTCCCTGTCCCCCATTGTACGGGTGGGGGTTATCCCGGTCCACGCTGGGGACACCTTACTACCCACTACAAGGGAACCCCCTGTTAACCAGCCAACCGCATGGCATTCCCAAAATGGCCGCCGCAGCGCAACACAAACAACAAGAGCACAAACTCACCCAGTCCGAAAATGCCCACCTAACTGCCCACGTTACCGATGGACCTCCCGGAGCGTCACCCAATGCCAGGCTCGTGACCCTGCTGAGATCAGATAGAGATTCGCTGATCTGCTGCCATCCACCCTCACAAGACCTGGACCTCGGAGGGCAAAGAACCCAAGGGCAGAGGCCTGTTTGAAGTCTGCACGCCAGAAGGCAAACAACATCCCAAGCACAGCATGAAGACAAGCAACGGCGTTACACACAGCCTGAAACCGGACTGTAAAGTGTGGCCAAAACGAGGTGTGGGGTGAATCCTTGAAGATAGAGACTCAGCTCTGTAGCTATTAATTGAAGTTTATCCTGTTTATAGTGCAGGGATCTCCATATAATTAAAACACTTACAACTACTTATGACAAGCACAAATATAAAGCACCGCGCTTACAGCAGCAGTAGCTTAGTATCCAACAGCTCAAAATACATAGTACAAACAAAGAGAACGTTACCTGCGCTCTGGCCTAAATCCCCATGTACATTTAAACAAAATGGAGGCTCTTTAGTTTTATTCTAATGGCCCCTTCCTGTCTTACTGCAGATTCTTGGCTGATATCAGCATATCTAATGGCTAGAGTAGGACTCACCTATTGAGGGTTGCCTTGACGTGGCCGGTGAGCTTATATATTCAAATGGCCATTGGAATAAAACTAAAGAGCCTCCATTTTGTTTAAATGTACATTGTCATAACATATATGTTACTACGTGCTGCTGTCATGGCATGGCAAACTTGATTTGTTTACTATTTGCACAATAAAATAAAAACTGACCAAAAAAAAAAAAAAAGTGTGTGGATAAAAAGCTTTTGCATGTAAAGACCTATATTTAATATCTAAATGTACAGACAGGAATACTTTCAAGGTTTACATGACCACTTATAAACTAAACTTCTGTTATTTTTCAGCTGTTTGTGTTGGCATTAGCTTAGGTAATTGTTTAAATTGTTGCTTTACTAAATCAATCTGACAGCTGTCTGCATTCAAGAAAGGTCTCAATTTGGCCGTTTGCGGGGCTAATCTGTGCATTCCACTTGAATACAGAAAGAGGTTTCGTTAAAATGGGCTGTGCCTAACGGAGTTGGGATTTTTGCTGCAGAAAACAAATATTTGTTTATTTATTTGCAAAGTTATAGAAATTTGGACATAGAAAAAAAAATATAGCAAAGATATGAGGCTGAAATCTTTTAAATACTCTTAGCTTGTGTTGATGCCTCAAATGTCCCTTTACGATTCTCATCACATTTGATGCCTGCTGTAGAAAAGATTGCTCCAAGGGTCTTTCTCCATTTACACCCGACCTTTTGCGTCAATTTCACAACAAGGATTCCTCAGTAAGGACTTATAGCACCTAACCGCATGATTGCATTGGATGGTGAAGAGGCGCAACGATCGAAATGTGGAAGAGTCACCAAATGAAACCAATAAAAAATTCCTACTGCTCCCTCATTTCCCGACCACAACGAATGTCTTGGCTGTAATTTACACCTAAGCGTTAATGCAGACACTACATCTAGGCAAGTGATATTTCATATCCATCACTTTCAGGATTTTTTTACTATGAATTTAAATTATCTTATATTATCATTTAAATATTGCAGATGCAATCTGCTGGATAATCTACAGAAATAATAGGTAACAGGATAGTTGTTCACATGGGACTCGCAGGTCCTCAGCAGTAAGTAGAGCAAAAAAGGAAGAAAAGAAACCACAAATGTAAAACTCATGCAGTAGGTGTGAATGTGATGTGTTTAGGTGCCTTTATGTTCCTAGGCTGGTCGTAGCTCTGAGGTTTTCCAACAATTAATAAGTCAGCTATCGTCTCTTCTGTGATCTGTCAGGGGATGTAGTGTTCTGCATCCTGACCAACCGTGATTGTACAGCTATGACTTGTAGCACGGTTTTTCCCGTACCTGGGCAGATGAGCTGTACCAAGCTCTATAGCATACGACTCTTGTCCCTGTTCTCTAGTGGGAAGGAGCAGGTCCTTGGCAATATAGGAGGTATGTATCGGTGTAAGTTTTTGTGTTCGTAAAGGATGTCCCGTTACACGTAACCTTTGGTTAGTTTGCTTCTACTTTTCTAAGGTCTGCTGACGTATGTAATTTCTTGTTGGTTGTGTGACTGTAGTGTGTGTGTTGTGTCTCATCATTCGTTTGTGTGTCAGTGTGTGCGCACCCATGTCGTGTCCTACATGTTCCGCATCGGGATTCCTCCCGCATGTCTGGGTATGGTTGAAGTTTAAGGAGAAAAAGGGAAGGGGGGTAGGTTAAATGGGGTGGTCCGCACTGCGAAGGGCCCGGGCTCAGAGGCACCCCCCGCCAGAGGGCATCGAGCAATGTACATGAACCATGGGCTCCACAATTCTGCATGTTTGTGTTCTCTACCCGTTAGGGAGGCATGGAGCGCCTCGGCACTCTGTATGTCTTCCACCCGCTGGTGGTAATTTGTTTCCAATATGCTGGAATGGCTGCCTTAGCAGCGTTCAGTAGGTGCCGGAGGATTGATTTTTTATAGCTCGAAATTGTTTGCTGAGAGATATGCAGGAGAGCCAGCTCCGCTGACCAATCCGGCACATCTCCCAGCACGATCGTTGTCTCCGTTTTCACCATGTCCCATTACGGGAGTATGTCCCGGCACTCCCACCACAGGTGTAACAGCGTGCCTCTTTCCTCATGACATCTCCAGCATGTCGGAGGCACCGCCGGGAACATTCGGTTGAGCACCATTGGCGTTCGATACCAAAATGAGATCAGTTTGTATCCAACTTTTTCTGTATATCTTTTAAATAAACTTATTTATGTATATTTTAAAGAAAATAAAAACACATCATAACCTCAATATTTGTTTTTCCCCCTCAGTTATTTTGAATTTATATAAAATCGTAATAGCATTTGTAGCCAGGAGAGCAGTCTTGGCATAGGACATTTTACACTTTTTGTGAAGTTTGGTGTTAATGTAGGTAAATCTGTTTTTACGTTATATTGTTTGCAATATTTCATTATTTATGTTCCTAAATGTAGTGTGAAATTGACTAATATCGCTATCACAACGTCTGATGTGGAAATTTAAAATGCCTGTTTTTTTTTTAATGTTTATATTCTATTTTATAGAATATACTTTAAGTAGATTATATATGAAATGTATAAATTTGGAAATATCAAGGTTTCATCGCTAAACACCAAATTGAAATCTGAATTTGACAATTATTATTTGTATATGTCAAAATTGCTGGATAAATATAGTTGATGAAAAAGCATTACAATAGTGCATGTCATATATTTGTATAGTGTATGAGATCCACATAAATAGAAGCCTGGTTTTGGTTTTGTATCTTCTATTTGCTTTTAGGTGGTATTTTGGGAATCTTAATTCCCGAAACGTCTAGAGATTATTACATGCAAAAAAATATAAAATAGCAAATGACCATAGTATTAATATTTTTACACAAATTTAGCTATACTAGAAATAAATTTTATTTTTAATACTTTCTGCCCCCTTTACATTGTAAAGAATGAATACATTAAGAATCTACATTCTCTAGATTTCTGTCATTTTTATTTTTGGGGTGCAGTCGCTGTACAACATTCTAACAAAGAAGTCCTAGTTTAGCCGAGGTTTGTGAAATCGTTGTGCCTTTCATTTTCAGCGTAATTTTTTTTTAATGAAAATAACTCTGTCGTTTAAGAATTAAAGGTACTTTATGTTCAATATATTTTTCACTTCTGATAAAATTGCTGTTTCATTTTCGTTCTACTGTTATGTAAACAGAATTGTAATGCAAAATACAGGAATTTTAATATTCATCAGCAGACAAATTGCAACTAAACTGCCAATAAATGCATTTCTCCTCCGATTCATTGGCTTCAATCCAGGTAACATATTGCATTTTAAAAAGACTGCATACTCGAAGCCCCGTAGTAACTTAAGGAGGATATTATACAGCCGCCCGCCATTCAAAATGCAGTGAATTAACGGGTCAAACTTTATTGGCAGATGGCCAAATAACCATCAGCAGGAAACTCTGGATTCAATTTTGTTCACCCTCCAAGAAGCATCAGGTGAGAAATTAAGTTTGTATATGAGGTCATGGAAGTGTCTTCCATACAAACGTAATTTTTCTCCTTATGCTACTTGGAGAGGGAACATAGCACAAACCTGCGAGCCTTGTGTAAACACAGATTTAGGAGCATGGAAGGATTGTTTTGCCAGTAGTAACTGCCCTCCCCTGGTATTGTCCGTAGGTTTGGAGGGAGTTAGATCATTGAATTATCTATATCCAACTCCACTTGACGTGTTTCTTTCCAAAACCATTAAATTAACCTTTCCTGGTTGTTGGTAACTTGTATATACGAGCTTACTTTTGCCCTGAGTACAGAAGTCTCGGATGAGCTCTTAGATGCACTCTATTCACACTGTTTAACAATCTCACTAATCTACTGCTCTCTGCAACTCTTAATTCTGATTGCATTAAGTAGGAATGACAAACTAGCTAAATCTTCCTCTAAATCCGCTCTATTTTTGCCAGATGGCAGATGTTAAGCCCTGGCCAACCTGTGCCCCACTGACGTCCTCTGCGTCCCCTAGTTTAACCTGTCAGCGTTACTACCTAGCTTTAAATTACCAAGGAGAGGAGAGTTAGTCCAATGTAAATAAGATGATGCTGCCTGCTATTGAATTGATCCCCACATAAAGTTGGTTCAAAATATATTATGTCCGTCTCTACAGTATAACTAGAGTGCACATACATTGAGGCAATTATTCTGTCCAAAATTATAAGCTACTTAATAGTACTGTGTGTAAGTGTTGCAATGTAACAGTTGATGGTGACTCCTTTCTGAATGTGTTCTTCTTTTCATCATTTCTGATCGATTTCTCTTTAAAACATAAGATAAAGTCGAGACTACTTAGTCTTATATATTTTCATATGCTTGACAAGTGTGACAAAATGGTGGAGCTTATGGCAAGTTTAATCTTTCCTTAGTTTTACAAAAGAAGTGAAGCTTGCATTAAGCACCAACCTTTCGTCACAATTGTCATGCATAGGAAAATTACACAAGACAAAGTTGTCAGGACTTTGTCTTATGTTTTTAAGAGATATAGATCAGACATATAGAAAAGAAGAACAGATTCTGAAAGAGGAAGAAAATCGGAAACAATAGGAGAAAGGTAAGTTTGAAATTACAGAGACACTTTAAGCCCTTAGACTACTTGATCGGTCTACCTGTCACTTTTGCTCTCAACCCTGACGGTTTTGGTGCATATCTTTCCTCGTCCGTTCAAGTCTACTCCTTATTCTTGCCTTACTAAGTGGTTGTCTCTTTGCCGGTTATCCGGTTGCTTTTTTGTTAAATTTATATAAATAAATTTTATTGTTAATCTGACAATTTAGGGAAAGCATGTACTACTGTATGTATAATGCAAGCATTATGCGTACACATAGTATACATAGTAATCATAACACAAGGAGACCGCAAGTCATACCAATGTTCTATAAAACAGTACAACAAGCTAAACACAAGCTATGCAGACACTTGCATTAGTGCATAGATAGTTGGCTAGTTTGGGTAGCTACTACAAAGTGTGCTGTTTCTTTTTTAAGTGATTTATAGTTCCTAACAGGAAAGACTGCATAGATAATTATATATGATCAATTGAACAGTCAATAGCCAGGGACCTCGTTTTCTCCGTGTTAGGAACCCCTAGGGTCATATATAGTGATGGAAATTATGGAGAGGGGTTACAGTTAAAAATAGTGAGACTGTTTGGGTCACACACTTACATTAATAGCCGTACATCAACCATGTTGGAGAAGCAGGTAGCAGTTACAAACTTCCACCCGTGAGTGGTACATATATACAAGATTGGCATCAATACAGTAACATATACGAAACATAACACGAATGCAAAATTAGTTATCTTCCCAGTATAATTCAAGGGATTCCATATTTATGTTGGATGTGTTGATTAGAAGCCAGGATAATATCTTATCAACTGTATTTTGGTTGGTATCTGAGCTCATTTCCGCTTACTAACTCAGGATCTTATTTTAGAGTCACTTTGTTCCTATAATATCATACTGTAACATCTCAATGCTTTTATAGATAACTTTTGGCAACAGTGTTTGCTTCTCATTAAGTGGTTGTTTCAAATATTTTATTTCTAATCAACAAGACTGTGAAATATTTAAATGTTATATTTTGTTCTCAATTTGCAATACTTGTACCATGGACTGAAAAAAAAAAGAAATGATTGGGTTACTTCCAGTATTTTAGAATATTGAAAATAATCCATGCAGAGTTGATTATTCTTACATACAGGTTTAGTTTTTTTTACAAGTATAATAGATGGCCCTCCAAATGCGTTGGGGGTTTAAGTTTTTCCATAGGATCCAGAGACATTGATGTAACTATTTGTGATGTTTTATTTCATGCGCTATGCTTCTTTTCTTATGGTGAATTACTCAGTAGTTTTAACCCAACTAGGATATGAGCAATCCACTCTTGAATGCATATTGGTTGATGGTCTCAAATGGGTTGTAGTTGTAAATTCAGGAATCCTTTTTCATGTGTATACCAGAATCACAAGGTCGTTTTTAACTTGCAGTTCTCACCTTAAAGTATGTCCTTTTTGCAAATAAAAATCATTTTCACAAGTGAGTTCCATTGGTTTTGGTCATCCTGAAACATGATGAACAAGGTCAGCTGTCTTCTGGAATGGAACTTGGCGGGACATTATCTGGGCCATAAACTGCAACTTGGATGTCCACATTCGGGTCGCATTTACCACTGACGCTGTTGATCTGGTTTGCTTTGCCGAGGTTCTTTATGATCCTGATATTGTGTTTGGCTGTCTCCATGCAGCTGTTCTGCAGTAACCATCCGTCAGACTCACTGTCGAGGTCTCCTAAGATCAGAACGTTCTCCATCGCAGTCTGCAGGTATCGTACGCCGGTCAACACTGAAAGCTAAAGATACACACAAGGTATTTTTTTTATTTTCTATCAACAGAAATGTATTTTATAAGATTCAGCATCCACATTTAAAAACCATCTCCCATAAGCACCAAAACCGCTATAGCTTAGTAATATGGTTGTGTATAAACCATGCCCTGCAGTGTCATTTCTCAGTTTTCTGCCATTTAGAAGTTAAATAACTCTGTTTATGTTTACAGCGGTAAGCAGACAAAAAATAGCTTTCTGCAGTTTTTCAGGGGGAAATAAACAAAAACACAAAACGATATGTTTACTTTTATATCATAGAAATAAAAATAAAAAACTCCAGGCCCATGGGTTGTAATAATGAATCTAATACAGATGTATGTTTTTACTGATCGCTGTCTAGAAAGCTCACTGTTGTGTGGGCCTCGTGCTTGGAACAGAATCTTTTGTTCTAAGTTAAGATACGTTTTTTCGTGAATGTAGAGTATCGTTCGTGTTTCCAGGTCATAAGGTTTAACAAACCTATCAGGAAATGCATGATGGTCTCAAATTTGGCAGCAGATTTTAGTTATTCTGTTGCAAATGTAACATATGTACGAGGCACTGGTGTGCCTATTAAAAAGGTTTATCCTTTAAGAAATATATGGAACTGCACTTACTCCCATCAGGCAGAGCCAGGGTGCCTACTGTACTGGAACCAAACACCAGATTCCCATAATTGATGAAACAAAAATAAAGGGGGTCCAGGCACTCCTTGGTTCAGTGGAACCAGTAAAAGTGCCTGCATTGAACCAAGGAGTGCCTGGATCCCCTTTATTTTTGTTTTATTAAAAAGGTTTAGTGAACCGTTTCATACCTCAAAAAGCCAGATGAGAAGGACCGTTAGACCAATAGACTGCATGAGTTGGTCGTAATACTCCAGTAGTGCCTCCCTGCAGCCCCGAATCCAGATGTTGAGTTCTTCTGTTAGATAGTCGTAGTTGTAGTGGGCAGAGTTGTTAGTGATTTGATACTGGATACAAGGACGAGGAGAGCTGGGATTGCAACAGCTGAAGGGGACCCCATCCAGTAAGAACTTCCCATCCACGTTGCTTTTAAAACGGCTGTAGAATGAGAAGAAACCATGAAAAACACTCCTCGGCATAAACAAATGTTTACATTATCAGATGGCATGCTTAATCAAGGTTGAATTGTCCAGTTGTATATTGTTACGTTTGAGATGTTTTTCATGCCTCCGTTTCAAAAGTGATCTAATAAACATGATATACGACACACCAACTGTGCAAAATGTCCCAACCTCTTGACAGAGTGGCATTGTGAGCTAAACAGTTTAAGTAATGAGTGTCTTTCACAACCTTATAAGTTCTAAATTCTTGGGCACCAGGAAATGCAGGTGGATTTTTCACTGCAGTCACCTCCAAACCAGATTATCAAGGCATAAACAAGGCACCAATTTTAGGCAAGATTAAATGTCATTGTTGATTTGTACACCCTGACAATTCTGGACTGTATCTCAAACTTCTCTCCTTTTGGGGGCCCACACAGGGTTTAGTGAATGGAACCAATTCAGCCCCCTTCTGAACTTATGCTTTCTGGAGATTTTTTTTTCTTCGCAAAGTAGACTTTGCTCAATATTTGAAAATTTTAAAATGACAAAAAAAAAAAAGAAAACGCAACAGATTTGTTTGTAATGTTTGTGTTAAGGGACATACCTATTTATCACCAAAGTATTTAACTCCCATACTCCTGGTTAATAGGAGCATAAATACACAAAATCTAACAAGAAAAATGAGCCACAATATTACTGCCTTATTTGCGTGGTAGAAATGACCCCATTATAGCTACCTCTTGGATAAGAATGTCGGCTGAGAGCACTCAGCCAATGAAGACCCCTCTTTGTGCAGAAATATACACACAATTGACATTAGCCAGCTTTGCTGATGCCAGAGGTGCCAGTGGTCATGCAGCATAGACAGATTCTAAGCCCCATGACCACTACAAAACACTGAAGTGGTTATGGTGCTTGGAGTAAATCTTTTTTCAAGCTTATTTTTTGAGACTTTGCCATAATGCTTTTTATTTTTAACTTATGGAACTGGGTTAAAAAAAAAAAAAAAAAACATAAAAATACAGATGCAACTATTAGCTGCAGCGAATGGTAATGATTAGAATTCACGATTGAATGCTGGGTTGTATATACATTAAGGAATGTTATAATTAAGGAATTAAAAGTGAATAAGAATAATACTTTTATTGTCTTTCTGAATTAGTAGTGAAGTGCTGACTTACACAGCGAGTTCGGATTCTTCACAGTTTCGTTACCTAAATAAATCTTCAATATAAACAAATATTTTGAACATATTTTATATTTGTTTCAATTATATACGCTTTATTTTATCGTAAAGAAGCAGTCGGTCTAAAATATGTTTTCACCATTTAGTTGGTGGATTTGCACCAATATAATTTTTGAAGACCTCGTAGGTGATAACATTAGTGTTATATGCTGCACATTAAGGCTTGGATATTGTACATCCAAAATTACTTACTCAATGATTTCCTTGGAACTCATATCCAAGTAACGAACCGAAACCCATTGGATCTCAAACCAGTCCCTGTAACCATTGTTCCCACAACACTGGAATTCGATCTGTAGCATGTCAACGGTCGATTTCAAGAAACAGCGCCCGGGGATGTCTGTATCCTTGTAAAACTTCAGTGCGTCTTTAAGCCCCCGGTACAAGGCAGACTCTAGCTCGTGCCGCATCGTGTAGCACATAATAGCTCCCGCAAAAACGCAGAAAGTAAAAAAGAACGTGCAGATGATGTATGGCAACATGAAAAGCTTCCACCTTGAAAACTTGTTGGCATCCGAGCAGTCATAGCAGATCTTTCCCCCGAAAAAGTTAATGACGCAGGCGATGATGCCCACCGCGATGAGCATGTTGGGAACCGTGTGGATATCGCCACTTATCATAAGTTCACTACGCTTCCTGATCTCTATTTTTAGAAAGAGACCAAGACTAAAAATAATGAGTCCGGTTATTACAGAGATCCAGTTGAGGATCCATAGCACCTGAGCCAGCCTCCCTCTTCTGGTTTTGGTGAATTTGACTTTAAGCACCGCCATTGTGAGTTTGGGAGATGAGGACAGCAGAGCCTTCACTATAGAAAGCAAAGAAAAGATAATTTATTAATTTACTGACAAACTAAACTAGACAATAATGCATTGCACAAGATCACATCGCATAAAAAAACCATGAGAGAATATATAACCACACTAGTACATCAAGTGACAAACTGGCAGAATATAAAGATTATATTTAAATAAATCACATAAGCAGAGGTTAAAATAAAATGAGATTTAAGAAAAACCCAGTCTTACTAGTAACGAGAAAACCAAATGAACTCTGTGCAAATAACAACAGCCAAGAAACACAAAATATTTATTACGAAAAAAAAACTTTCTCTCTAATATCCTAAAGAATAAAGTTTAAAACCATAAAGTAGTATTATCAAACACTGCACGTATCTGAGTGTTGAAGTCGTTCACTCACAAGCAGAACTCCCATCCCATATCCTTGGAGTGTCCAGTGATAAAGCAGTAAAGTTTGTGTGCAGAGTATAGCTGTGTATAAGATAATAATAATAATAATAATTTGATCACCCTCTGTACATGCAACTACAGATTTAGGAGCTCATTGAACTGGGATTTTTAAAGTAATTTTTAAAAAAAAAATTTATTTTGCAAGGTGTATTAGGTTTTCAATATATTTACAGACCAACTTTCACACTATGCCGAGTGATTGTACTTAGTGTTACACAATGCCGAACACTACAGTCAAGGTTCACGAACTGTTGAGAGTCACAATGCAGAGCACTATAACAGGGTTATTTACTAACCTGAGAATTGTCAGGCATTCACAGTGAATTACAAATTATAGATGAATATCTGAGGATTAGATTGTTCAACAGGTATAAATAAGGGATAACATTGGAGACACAGGTCCCTCGAACTTAGCAAGACGTCGTTAATAACATTTCAATGATAGTCACCGTTTATAATAGTCAGATTATGCAGTTAAATACCATGCAGAGTCAATGTAAATATAATGGATCCAATCAGCGTCTCATTAATATTAGGAGAATAACAAGTTGGGGTACATTGATATTTGGTGAAGGTGTTGCTATTGGAGCATCTGGGATTACAATGTCACCATGGGGAAAATTGGGCTGGGGGGTGGGAGCAGGTCGATAGAAAATGGGAGAAGAGAGAATTGCAAAGTATAGCTAACTTTTTTTCGATTCCGCTACTTTGGTTCGTTAAATAGGGAGTTCACTTTTAATTTGTGACAGTTCTAATATTAGTAAATATTAGTACAAGCTTCACACATTGCTGTGTTCACACTGAGCTTTAAACATTGCGCCAAACTCCACGATAACTAATGTTTTTTGCACAGATTCTGGAGGTCCCATGTTACTGTGTACCTGCAAATTACTGCTTTATAAAAATGACTGCTGCTTCAAGTTGACGCAGGAGAAAGCTGTACTTATCAACATATTAACCCTTTTGTAATCTGTAAGGATTACCAGGTACCCTGTATTTCCCGAAAACACACATTTTCAGTTAAATCACAGTGTATAATCTGGAATACAGCTCCTGGTAATATTTCATATAGTTATAAATATATATATATTTAATCATTTAAGCTTATTCTACAGAGTTGCACATTATAAATTCTTATAATAACGGAGGGCTCTAAACACCCTCTACCACTACAGCTTTTTGTAGAAGTTGTGTGCACAGAGTCTTGAATAAAAGGCAAAACGTAGCACGAGCCTGGTATATTCATAGATACCTAGCAATGCAAACATGTACTCCTAGACCTCTACAATAGCCTGGTGGTATACTCTGATACAATTCAATGGAAGCCTGATGTATACTCTGATACAATTCAATGGAAGCCTGATGTATACTCTGATACAATTCAATGGAAGCCTGATGTATACTCTGATACAATTCAATGGAAGCCTGATGTATACTCTGATACAATTCAATGGAAGCCTGGTGTATACTCTGATACAATTCAATGGAAGCCTGATGTATACTCTGATACAATTCAATGGAAGCCTGATGTATACTCTGATACAATTCAATGGAAGCCTGATGTATACTCTGATACAATTCAATGGAAGCCTGATGTATACTCTGATACAATTCAATGGAAGCCTGATGTATACTCTGATACAATTCAATGGAAGCCTGATGTATACTCTGATACAATTCAATGGAAGCCTGGTGTATACTCTGATACAATTCAATGGAAGCCTGGTGTATACTCTGATACAATTCAATGGAAGCCTGGCATATTCCCAGTAACCCCATATTGAAGGCCTGGTGTGGTCATGTATACCCTGTAGTCAAGGAAGGGCTGCTAACTTTTGGTCTGATGGGCAAGTAGAAACAAATTGTTTAGTTTTTTTGTGTGTGCACAAAATGTTTAGCTCTCTATATGGATGGCCTCGCTCATTGTTCATGAGGTTTTATCAGATCAAAGCTGCTTTAATTTCAAGTTATGACCTCCGTTAGTATGACCTGCAGGGCATGAAGAAGCATTTACAGAGATCTGTACACGGGTAATAAATGCGGACTTTGTTTAAGGTTCCTCCAATGCCATCAATAAGAACTTGTCATGTTTTGAATGTTATTCGAACTATCCCACCTCATACATAGTCATAGTCCGGTAACCTGGTCAACACCAGATGCTGCAGTTTAAATGGAGGTATTTTATTGTGTTGGTCCCGGTCTGAAGAACATTGAGATTGCAGGCTGTCATCCTACGCACAAAATGTTTTGCACAAAATCTACCTGTTACCTTACTCCTGCAGAACTGTGCCAACAGACATTCCAGTACATCGCCTGGTCTTTTAATCTGCTGAAGAATTGTCTGAGGCTACTGCCAACAACTCCTGTATGCCAGGTGCCCAGGGAAAATGACCCCATCAATACATTTGTCAGCCATGTCTGCAATAGAAGCCGGGGGTATTCATACATTACATACAATGGAATCCTGATGAAGTACAGGTTGGGTAAAATTAATGGATGCTTTATGCAGGGCAAAAAAGTCAAGTACTGCGCCACTAGTCAGGGTTTAAAAGTTGGTGCCACTGCAAGCCTGGAGGATTCATGTTACCCTCACTAAGGTAGAATCTTTATTCGCCAGGGCTACATTTTCACTTGCCAATGGATAGTGGCGAGTGTAAATTTTACGTTATCATTCTCTTACTTAACCCCTTAAGGACCAAACTTCTGGAATAAAAGGGAATCATGACATGTCACACATGTCATGTGTCCTTAAGGGGTTAAACAGCTGTATGTTTTAAAGTTGTCATGATTTTAAACATTAATTTGACTTAGATTTTTCAATTGTTTATGACATCTTTACTCCCATGGTTGAAATAATACTTAAAAAAGCGTGAAAACCTACCTGCGGCAATGGGTAGTCCTGCTCTGCGTTTCAAGTAATCCACTGAAACATGTCTTAGAGATGGATATTAAACAAAACGTTCCCCATTCATTGTACGGAATCCTTGCTGAAAGGGCTTGGATTTTACAGAACGAGACAATGCAAGAGATTTGTAGAATGAACAGCCCGAGATGCTGGTTTCTGTAATCCTTTCTGGGCTAATTATGTCTTGTAGGTTTAATAGTCCCTCTGATGGCAGATGTAGCAAAGCACCTTAGTAAATAGGATATAAGCCTTTCTGCAGTGTAAATAGGAAATCCGTAGCTGACAGAGAACTTGCATTGTTGCTGCCGCACACCATAGAACCCTGTGTTTTAATGCTTTGTAAAGTGATATTTTGAGTGAAAGATTATGTACTATTTCCTCTTCAGGAATATCAGACCAGGTAACAGTGTTGACATGTACAATCACTATGTAATTGTGTTTACCACTCTTAACTGTATCAGATTTGTTTTATTTTGGGTGTCCACAAGAGCATCACTTTATTAGTCACATAGGCAGTAAATATGCCAGATTCGTATAGATTTAAATTTATTTAAGGTCTTTTAAAGTACTCTTATCCAGAGCGCTTTACAATTATGCAAAAAGAGCACTTGTAATTATACGAACATGGGATAAATAATTAGATTCACTGATACAAAAGGAGAAGAGAAACCTGCCTGGGAGCTTACAATCGAGAAGTAAAATGCACGTGTTTTACAATCCGTATACGGTACTCAGTGAGTTTGTAGCTCCGCCCAGTGTCTAGAAGTGTCAGGCGTAGGAAAAGTACGGAGACAAAGTAGTTTGGCATAACTTGGAGTTATGTTGAAAATAAACGACGAGAAAATACACTTGAGTATAAAATACTTCAACAAATTAAGGATAAAGACGCCTGGGCCCCATAGGAAAATTTAGAAACATTTGAAAAGGTGATGAGATGGAAGTTGACCTCAGAACTGGTGATATTTAAGCATACATTAAAGACTGAGTGATTATAGCTCACAGTTCGGGTGTTGATTTGAACGTTCTCCAGAAGGAAATGCAGTATCCCAGTTAATTCACCAAGCAATCAGACGAATACCCAAACATCAGCCTAAACTAGATGAAGGGTACAACAGGAAATAATTTATTCAGGCCAACTGACCGGTTTATATGCAAGTCCCCATGCAAGGGGTTTACCGTGACATATTCCAGGGGCATTCCCCACTGGACCTGAGAGGGGACTATGGCAAAATGCACACTGTACTTACATTGGCTCTCAGGTCCAGGACACTCCCACACAGAACAGGATAAACCCTCCCCTGTGCCTGTGAGATAATTGAGTCAGGAACTGTACTAAACTCAATTATCTCCAGGCACAGAAAACACACATTTTAATAACACCCAAAAAGTACCAACAAAACACATGGAAACCCCACAACAGTCACATCCCTTGATAGCCCCGATCTGGGGGACCAACATATCCAAAACTCACCCAGATCAGTTCGGGATTTCCATGGAAGTCATAATTTGACGGACCGCACACAAAGTCTTATGCCCAAAACAATTCCGCAGTTTCAGAGGTAGTGGTCGGTTTATTTTATCTATTCATGAACTGTTCCCCTGGCCCTTGAGTAGTGTTTGTTAGCCTAGTCCGTGGGAATAAACCTACCGAATAGCGCTCTCCTGGCTGGTCGGTGAAAACAAGCAGGCGTGCGTGATGTTGACCGGCGTTCGTAAAGCCGTGTGTCCGATTTTAGTTAAAGTCACTCGACCGCCAAGTCCCGCTGCCTCTTTTTGTGCAACAAGATTGCCCCCGTTTTCTCCAGCAGGTGGCGTTCGGTCATACGAAGGGCGGCCACACAGGGAGCGCCCTTTATCCGGAGTTGTAAGGTTCCGCTTCGTTCCAAGAGGTGTCAAATATAAAGGAAGAAGTCTTATTCACATTTGGTAGAGCTTAATCCAGCTCTGGTGTGTATAGCTTGCAGTGGTATAATCCCCGCTTATAGGATATACAGTGAGTATCCTCTTCGGTGCAGTGACAGAGAGCCAAGGGGGAGATAAAAATGGAAACAATAATGGTGCAGTATGTTCCACAGTGGGTAACAGATGATAAAATATAGTAAATACACTCACATTTGGTAGAGCTGATACTAGCTCTAGAGTGGTAGGCATACAGCGGTACAATCCCTGCCTCTAGGATATATGATGAGTGTTCTTAAAGATGGTATCAGGAGCTTGGAGGGAAGATAATAAAACAGCAATAGTGCTCTCAATAAAATATTACTACTATATAAAATATAATAAAATATACTCACAGTATATAGAGCAGGCTAACTGATCTATGATAATAGCATAGGTGGTATGATCCCCACCTAAGATTCTTTGGAGTATTGAAGAAAAGTAAAAAGCCAGGTAGTAGTAAAAAAAAAATTAAATAAAAGATGATGGTACAAGAGAGTAAAAAGGACCAAAATCTATTTATTAACAATATTTAAAAAACAGTACATTATTCAAACGCGTTTTAACATATAGGCTTTATCAATGGAATTAAACTTTTATTCCCCTCAAGACACCCTAAAACCTGTACATGGGGGAGGGGGATACTGTTTTACTCGGGAGACTTTGCTGAACACAAATATTAGTGTTTCAAAAAAGTAAAATATATCACAGGGATGATATTGTCAGTGAAAGTGACATTCTTTGCATTTTTCACACACAAACGGCACTTTCACTGATGATATCATTGTAGTGATACGTTTTACTGTTTTGAAACACTAATATTTGTGTTCAGCAAAGTCTCCCGAGTATATAACAGTACAAGTGCGTATAACAGTACCCCCTATGTTGAGGTTTTAGAGTGTTTTTGAAAGTTACTGAGTCAAATATAAGGCTTGCGTTTCAGTTTTTTCACATTGAAATTTGCCAGATTGGTTACGTTGCATTTGAGAGCGTATGGTAGCCAGGAATGAGAATTACCCCCATGATGGCATACCATTTACAAAAGAAGACAATCCAAGGTATTGCAAATGGGGTATGTTCAGTCTTTTTTTAGTAGCCACTTAGTCATGAACACTGGCCAAATTTAGCGTTCATAATTGTTTTTTGCATTTTTAACACACAAACAAATATAAATGCTAACTTTGGCCAGTGTTTGTGACTAAGTGGCTACTAAATAAGACTGGACATACCCCATATTGAATACCCTGGGTTGTCTACTTTAAAAAAAATATGTACATGTGAGGTGTGATTCAGAGATTTATGACAGATAACAGTGTTACAATGTCACTTTTTCAAAATTTTATAAATATATATTTTGAAACCGCAATGTCCTACTTGTACTTATAGCTCTATAACTTGCAAAAAAAGCTAAGAACATGTTAACATTGGGCATTTCTAAATTCAGGCCAAAATTTAGAAACTATTTAGCACAGGTGTTTTTTGGTGGTTGTAGATGCATTACAGATTTTGGGGGTCGACGTTAGAAAAAAGGGTGTTTTGTTTTATATTTTCAAGATATTTTATAATTCTTTTATAGTAAATTATATGATATTGTGAAAATAATGGTCTCTTTAGAAAGACGATTTAACGGCGAGAAAAACAGTATATAATATGTGTGTGTACAGTAAATGAGTAAGAGGAAAATTACAGCTAAACACACACACCGCAGAAATTTAAAAACAGCCCTGGTCCTTAACGGTAAGGAAATTGAAAAACGGTCTGGGCACTAAGGGGTTAAACACTAAATGTATATAAACACCTCTTTATTCAATCACCAACACTACACACAAAAACACACCTGTTTTTAAAAGCCAACACTACAGTGAAACACATTCCTGCATGCAAAATAAAAAAATAAAAAAAAATATTAGGACATACTTCTCACACACAATGCTTTTCAGCAAGCGGACATGCTTTAGAGGTCTGGAGCATTCCTTTAAATATACTGTGGAAGATATTGGCCTAGACTAAGTATTTTAATGCACTTTGTTTTGTTCTATAGATATATATATATATATATATATATATGCATTTTTTTTCATTTTTGGTGGTTTTCATTTCCATTCTCAATATTTATTTTTTTATTATTGATTCTTGATAGGAACACTATAGTCACCTAAATTACTTTAGCTAAATAAAGCAGTTTTAGTGTATAGATCATTCCCCTGCAATTTCACTGCTCAATTCACTGTCATTTAGGAGTTAAATCACTTTGTTTCTGTTTATGCAGCCCTAGCCACACCTCCCCTGGCTATGATTGACAGAGCCTGCATGAAAAAAAAAACTGGTTTCACTTTCAAACAGATGTAATTTACCTTAAATAATTGTATCTCAATCTCTAAATTGAACTTTAATCACATACAGGAGGCTCTTGCAGGGTCTAGCAAGCTATTAACATAGCAGGGGATAAGAAAATCTTAATTAAACAGAACTTGCAATAAAGAAAGCCTAAATAGGGCTCTCTTTACAGGAAGTGTTTATGGAAGGCTGTGCAAGTCACATGCAGGGAGGTGTGACTAGGGTTCATAAACAAAGGGATTTAACTCCTAAATGGCAGAGGATTGAGCAGTGAGGCTGCAGGGGCATGTTCTATACACCAAAACTGCTTCATTAAGCTAAAGTTGTTCAGGTGACTATAGTGTCCCTTTAAGCTAGTTAATTACTTTGAGTTTCTGGGAAATGGCACAATTACATGACAGTTTGTGTGTTTCCCCTGTATTGCTGAGATTGCTGTGTTTTTACATTGAACACTAGGTGGAGCCCAACTCTTGTTTATACCCATCAAGGCTATGACCTTCCTTGGTTAGACAAAGTAGTAACTAAAAGATTAACTCCTTAAGGACACACGACATGTGTGACATGTCATGATTCCCTTTTATTCCAGAAGTTTGGTCCTTAAGGGGTTAAAGGATCACAAAGTCATCCATGCCACTTTATCTAACTGTGAAGAGGTCTGAGCGCACTGGTCCTGTCTTTTTCACCATTCAAGGTTTCCAGAAATGGCAAGGTTTACTTAAAAGGGTTAAACAAATTTCCAGTGGCGGTTACGCTGTGCTTACTGTGCATGCGCATCAGGTCCCCAATGGAGCATTGGATTGGAACTTATTGGAGGAAGCCATGCCTTGACGTAGCAGAAGGAGGAGAGGTGAGCAGTACCGAGGGATCCTCGGAGTTGGAAAATT